GATGCTGTTGCTGTTGTTGTTGCATCAGATGAGCGGATCCAGACGCCGGACCCTGTACGATGCGTCCAATGCCATCTACATAAACGGCTTGTTGATTGGCAGCTGCTGCAGCTGCAGCTGCAGCCGCAGCGGCTGCAGCAGCGTATTGTTGTTGTCGTTGCTGCTGCTGCTGTTGCATAAAAAGTTCATTCAATCCGACACCCATCAACTCATCGGCTGCGTCAAATAGAGCTCTTTCACCTGAGGGAACAGCACAAAATATTAGAATAGAAGAAAGCAAACGTTAAACTATCAATCAACAACAATCTCCGTACGCATTTGCATACAATGATACAGTAACACATGCATCGTTATTGAATGGATGCAGGATAAAATATTTTGCTTCTTTGAGTGGATAATTGATTTCCCGCACCGTAAATAGCCTCATGCTACAGAGGCAAGTCAGAATAAATTCAGCTATTAATTTCATTTGTGAAGGTGGGTGGAAGGGATTAATAAGTTGACATCATCTGAAACCAAAGGATTAGCTCAGTTGTAACAGTAGCTTTAAACAAAGAAATCTTATAAATACCGTACTGAGATTTCGATGAGTCTATATTGTGATACACATCGATCGTATGAAACCTTATTTATAGCAGCCAGTTCTCAGAAATTTGCTTCGATTGGTGGAAAATTAGTTGAGGTTCTATGCATCAAACAATCCTTGTTGTCCATAATTATTCTAAGTAGAATTCCTTCTTTGTGTATTTTTGACAGACCATATGCATTCGGGGCTCTCTGAAGGTACATTCATTTTTTTCTTCGCCAGTTCCCTGTTTTTTCAACGCCGTTAGAGAACTTGAGTCTAGATTCCAGGATTTTAGACAAATCGCTCGATCTATAACTAAAATTGTTTTTCCTTAGTCGGTTCCCACCACGATTTGATTGATGTTTATGTTTCCTTACCTTCTTAGTCACTTTCAAGTTGATCTCTTCATTGCTAGTAAGTAAAGGAACAGCCTTTAGCCTTTACATGACTCACGAAAAAGGTACACAACACATGTAACCGAACATAATTAATCATGTCAACATTGCTAAAACGAAAAAATACAAGTGATTAAGATGAGGATGCAGCTATGTCCCCTTCACAAGTCATCCGCATGAAGCCCACAGCCACCCCATTTGTCGTCAGGCGTGTGAGGGAAGCATGAAGTAGACATCCAAATGTGGATAGATGGACAGTCAGGCTATACGAAGTAGGAGGGATTTAAGCTGACTGCCTTTCTCGTCTAAACGATTGGTGAATTTTCGTAAAGCATGGTTTTACATCCTTTTTACTCGTTTTTCCGAACGAAGTGAAAAATGAAACGAAAAACCTTATTTTCTAAGGAATTCTTCGAAACCCAGATATCCTTCTATCAGAACAAATACTTAAAAATGAAATGCTTATTCAAAATGTACAACTCCTAATTGAGGCGAAGTAAATAATGCAGTATATACTGAAAGGATGATAAATTTCATCATAAATGCTCGATATTATAGTGCTGGCCAGTAGATTTATATATACGTTTTAATTAGTTAGATATAGAGGATAAAATTAAGTTGTTTCCCCATAATTGATTACATTTTTTCAATAATGCGATAGATAATTGTATTTAAAAGTAGAAGCAAAAAAATCTGAAGAAAATTAGTACTTTGTGAAATATATCAAGCCAAATCTAAATGCCATCAACAATATTGGTTTGGGACTAATTGGTCAAATGGATGACTTAATTAATTATCCCTTATCACGGGACTTTACGGTTTGTTTAAAAATATTGACAAA